AAAAAACTCGCGAAATCCGAACACCCGTTCCGATACGAGCTCAACCGTACCAAATTTGTCCAATTCCGATATCAAATGGACCTTCAAATCTTAATTTTTTGTTTTTGGAAAGTTTTGCAAAAATTTCAATTTCTTCCATCTAAATCCGAAATAAATGATGAATATAGACATGGATTTGTAAAGAACACTTACCCAATTTAAAGTCGTGAAAATCTCCCTTGAAATCGCCCAAATCGGAGATTCAAAACTCAAAAATGAGTAAAAATGGCTAAGACCCGATTTTATGTATTCTGTCCAGCATTTTCGCATCTACGGTGCCTCGGCTCGCACATGCGAGAAAAATCTCACATCTGCGAAAAGGGGCTGCCTAGCGAGGTTCCGCATCTGCGAACAAAATGTCGCACCTGCGACGTCCGCTTCTGCGCAAAAGGGCCGCACCTGCGATGGAAGTCTCGCTTCTGCGAGCTCGCACCTGTGATCAAAATTCCGCAGGTGCGATTATACCAGAACCCAAATTTTAGATTTTTTTGCTTAAATCCAATTCTTGTCCCCATATCGATCCATTTCACTTTCGGGGTATTCGGGACCCCGTTCGAATATACGAACAAGTCCCGTAACATAATACGGACTAACTCTGGGTCTAAAATCACGTCAAACAACACTGAAATTACAATTCACACCCTGATTCAAACTTTGAGTTTTAAACTTTCAATTTGCAAATCTCGTGCCAAAACATATTAAAAGAATCTGGAATAACTTCAAATATGGCACACAAGTCATAAATGACATAACAAAGCTGTTCAAATTTCCAGAATCGGATTTCGGCTCCGATATCAAAAAATCAACCCCGTGATCAAACTTGGAATTTTTATCCTTTAAATTGCTAGTTCCGTTAAATGGTCATAACTTGAGTTAGAGACCTCCAAATTAAATTATGGGCATACGCCCAAGTCCAAAATCACGATACGGAGCTACCGAAACTGTCAAAATACTGATCTGGGTTCGTTTGCTAAAAACGTTGATCAAAGTCAACTCACTTAAATTTTAAAGCTCTATTTCACATTTTAATTCATTTTTCACATAAAAAATTTCCGAAAAATTGTACGGACTGCGCATGCAAGTCGAGAAATGATAAATGGTGCTTTTCGAGATCTTAGAACACAGAATTACTTATTAAATTTAAAGATGACATTTTGAGTCATCACATTCTTCCTTTTATATTATCTCAAAAACTCTTATATTATTTTGGAAAAAATAATACGCAACACCTTTTCATAGCAGTTTTCTTAATATATTAGTGATTGTGATATGGCTATGTAGTGTACACTTATTCTTAATAGATTACCAATTAATACTTAGATGTAATTAGTTATTATCTTATAAATTACCTGATCGTATAAATAATTTAAAATATTTGAATCCATGCCTCTGTCTCTCTACAGTTAACTTCTATCAACTTTGAATCACTTCTCAACTTAGAAATTAAAAATTAAAGAAACAATTGTTATCCCCAGTTTAGGTTAAATATGAAAGATAAAAAAGTTTCTGAAACTTCAGCTTGATGAGTGTTGTATATTATTTTTATCTTAATTTTGGTGAGAAATCATGAACGATTTACTATATTTTTATCGTAGCAATAAAAATAGGATCAAAGATATAATTTTTTTTGCTAATGAAAGGAGAGACTATATTAAAAGCATAGGAAGTTTAGTTATTGCATAACATATGGATAGACCGCATTGCAATTTTCTCCAATTTGTCTTTAAGAAAAACTTGTAAAATAATTAAAGAAAGATATAATTAACTGACATGTACTAAGTACTGAGTTTCCAAAGAAAGTTACAACTTGTTTGGATGGTTGTTATGTATCATTTCATAATGTATCGTATCGTATAGTATTATATGTATCATTTGATGTACACAATGCTTAAGATTGTATTGTTTATCGTTGTTTCATGATTCATGCACCAATAAAATGAAGAATAAGTTTGCAATATAATAAAAAATAAATAAAGTACAAGGTAAAATTATTATATAAAAAATTGATTCAGGGATAAAATATGATTATTTAATAAAAGGAAGGGCAAGATGAGAAAAAAAAGGTAACGACGCAACCACACCAAATTGGTCATTCCATAAAGTGACACTTTTCGTTGTTACGTAATGACGGATGTAACGATACGATAAAATAAAATTTAAGTAAAAATCAAAACAAATATTGTATTAAAAGTAACAATACGATACAATACAACAACTAACAACCATCCAAACAAGTTGTTAAGCGAACTATTTTTACTAAAATAGGTTTTCAAAAAGATAGAAATACCGCTCGCTCAAAGAAAACTCTTCTAGTAGTACTTTTTATTGATTAAAATAGAACAGATATATAAAAGAAAAGTGTCTTCTCTCGGTTCATTGACCATATTTGTGTCTTTAGGATGAACTTGAAAATAACTATCCAAGACGTTTTGCAGAAAAACTCTAAAATCTTCAAGGCTTGCGTAATCTTGCTAAAAATGAAAAAAAGGGATCAAATTATGAAAATAGAATAAATTTTAAGCTAAAAGACTTCAATAGGACATCTTCTTTCTTTATTGTGTTAGCTATATAGATCAATATTCATCCTTTTTTGAGAACATATATTTTATTTTATACCTCAAACATAATTTCTCATATAGTAGCATTTATGAGATTTTTTTTTAAATTACTCAATGAGACACGGCATACGCGCAACGCGCGTGCCCAAAGACTAGTTATCTTACAAAATTAGATCCTACAAAATATACTATTCATCTGTTTATCCTACAAAATTAGATTTTATATTGAATATATTTATAATTTAGTCATTTTCCTAATATTTAGGGCTTTAAGATCAACAAAAATTTAATTTAAATCATTTTTTATTTGAAATATGTAGAAACTCATAATATTTAGGAACTTAAATAGCACTAATTGTAAGGTCAATTATAAAATAATATGCCATATCTGTTTTCATATAAGCAAAGTTTAATCTAAAGTAAATCATTATGGAATTTTTATATTTAGAAGATATACTTTACATGTAGTTTTTTTATTCAAGTTTTTATTTTATTCAAGTTAAAGGAATGCTAGGACGATTGTATAAATTGAGCTTAAACTCAAAATAACCAAATTACGGTTGTATTTGAAGTCCTAATTATTAATGTTTCAAAATAACCATTTTCCAGAAACAAAATATTTTCCAATAAATTGCGCTCCACACGCAAAGGAGAACAAAAATATTTGAACGCAAAGTTCAAGTGCATTACTTTCAATGAAATTAATGATAAATAGGCAAAGTTTCAGTTAGTCTCAAAGTCTAAAACTATAACTTTATGCAGCTTGGAATTATATAGTATTCAAAAGAAGTAAAGGGAAATTTTAGCCAAAATAATAAAATTTCAATTGTGTATATTCTTTTTTCCCTTTTAGATGCAATGACAATTTTTTCAGTTATATGTTCTTCTTTTTTAGGTCTAATTCACAAACAAAATTGGCCGGAACTCATTATTTTTAGCCAAAATAATAGAGTTTCAATTGTATTTTCTTATTTCTTCTTTAAATGCAATTTTATTCTAACTGTGTATTTTTGTAGGTAAAAGAAAAGAGTAGCATTCTTTTCAGCCAAATAAATTTTTTGACCAAAATAATGGGGTACCAACTATTTATTTTTTCCTACTTTAAATGCAACTACAAGTTATTTTGACTTTTTTACTTCTTATTTTCTGGGGGGCAGTTTTATAAAAAAAAACAGTTTGGTCAAACTCCATTTTTAACTAAATAAAAATTGAAAGTTTGGGCAAGTTTTTAAAATAAATTTAGTCCAAAACAAATGATTCAAAGGTTGACAAACTTATAAAAGTTTGAAAATACCATGTGAATCATTGTGGCAGTCTCATAAGGTAAGATTGGTTGGGGAATCAAAATATAAGTTTAGGGGTAATTACGCCTGGGAAAAGTTTGGGTGTGCATTGCATAAAATGTGTCAAGTGTAGAGGGGTTCTGAGGTATTTTTCCTAAAATTTAGGTGCAAAATATAAATGCACACTTAAATAAATACTATAATAGATATAAATTTTCAATGCCGACCATCATTATAATATTTAATACAACATCAAATTCTAGAAATAATTTTGAAATGATAATCGAAAATTACACATCAAATATATATTATTTATTAGTAATATTCATATTGATTTTCTTAAAACTTATACTCTATGATACGGTTACACGCGAAAAGCGAATATCCTAAATATATTATATTAAAAACATGAAACCTTTTAACAAAATATCATTTGTCTTTTTCACCTTTTAAAAATAAATTTTACGCTAGAAAAAAATTATCATTTAATATTTTCCTAATGTTTAGGATTTTTTTGACATCTCTTGCTAATTCATTACTAAATAGGATTAGTGAAGGATATTTGTTATTTAGCTACATAGTTTATTTGTCGCTTGCTTTTTTATTTTTTGTAGTTGAATGTATAAAATATATAGTACCTAAAAAAATCATTTTTATACGAAGTTAAAATTAAAAAAAAATGAGAACTCATGATAGATCATTAAGATTTTAAAATTATCTTAGCTTGTTTTCATGCTTAGTTAAGTCGCTACTTTATTAACTAAATAAGATTAATATTCCCCAATTCCACGAGTATATATTTGGTCAGGTTTTATTTTATAATCGAACAAATATCTAATAGTATTAATTAAAATATCAAAATTTTATAGTTATTAATATAGGATACAACGCCTATTTTAAAATTAGTTTAAATTAAATAAAAGAAACTAATTGGCGACTGAAAAATACACCTATATTTTTAAAGAAACTAATTGGCGACTGAAAAATACACCTATCTCAAGAGTCACGCAAATGAGCTGAAAACGTCACGAACAGATTTCGTTTTTTTTCAAATTTCCCTCTCAACTACTATATATATATATATATGATTCTCACATTCAAATTCACTTTCACTCTCTCTCTCAAATTACTTCTGCGTTCTTCAGGTAACACCGTACTTCACTGCCTTTTTCCTGTATTGACTCTTCTACTTCATCATTGATCTCTCTGTTTTAGTGTTAGTGTACTCTGCTAATTCATCAATCTCTCTGTTTTTGTATAACTTGCTGTGTCTTCTACTACTTCATCACTGATCTCTCTGTTTTAGTGTTAGTGTACTCTGCTAATTCATCAATCTCTCTGTTTTTGTATAACTTGCTGTGTCTTCTACTACTTCATCACTGATCTCTCTGTTTTTGTATACTCTGCTACTTCATTATTGATTTCTCTTTTATTTTGTGTTTTTGCTTTTTAATCACTGTGTGTGAGTGAGCGCGCGAGCGAGCGAGCGAGAGAGATATATTTTCGTTTTTGGAGTTGAATGCCGTGTGTGTGTGTGAGTGAGTGAGTGAGAGAGAGAGAGAATTTGGGCACTCTTCTTCATACTTTGCTACTTCATCATTGATCTCTCTTTTTTGTGTACTCTGCTAGCTACTTCATCATTGATTTCTCTCGTTTTTTTTTTTGGCTTTTTAATCACTGTGTGTGTGAGACAGTGTGCCTGTGTGTATGAGCGAGCGATATATCCTCGTTTTTGGAGTTGAATGTCGTGTCTGAGTGTGAGTGAGTGAGTGAGAGAGACGAGAAATTGGGCACTCTGCTGCTTACTTTGCTACTTCATCATAGATCTCCCTGTTTTTGTGTACTCTGCTACTTCATCATTGATTTTTTTTTTTTTGCTTTTTAATCACTGTGTGTGAGCGCGGGAGAAAGAGATATTCTCGTTTCTGGAGTTGAATGCCGTGTGTGAGTGAGTGTGAGTGAGAGTGAGAGTGAGAGAGACGAGAATTCAGGTACTCTGGTGATTGATCTCTCAATTTTTGTGTACTCTGCTATTTCGTCATTGATCTCTATATTTTTGTGTACTCTGCTACTTCATCATTGATTTCTCTTTTTTTTTGCTTTTCAATCACTGTGTATGAGTGTGTGTGTGAGGGAGAGCGAGAGAAATATTCTAGTTTTTGGAGTTGCTGTGTGTGTGAGTGAGTGAGTGAGAGAGAGGAAGAGAGAGAGACGAGAATTTGGGTTTTCTGCTGTGTACTAAGGCTGCATCTCATAAAGCGGTTGGTTTGCTTAGTGGTAACATTGGATACGACCGGGTATCATAGCTTATTACATTTTAAGTATGTGTTTTGATTTTCATATTGAGCAGGTTCAAGATGCCTTTCAAACAAGTGAATGAATTTGATAGGTAAGATATCCATGTACAATTTGCTATACTTTTTTGTTTCATTTTAGAAATTGAAGGAGAAGGTTTTACTGAAGCTATGATTTGATCTGGGAGTTATAGTGCCTACACCTGCTAAAATTTACAATTTTAGGTTTGAAGATTATTTCTTATGTGCTTTTTGTAATGTTTAGCTTGAATTCTTATTTGAGGGAGGTGTATTTGGGCAAAGAGATCATAGGAGAGTTAAATACTTTCGTTTGTAAGTATTTCCTTTGTGTTGAATTTCCC